CCAACCCCCCCCCCCCGAGTCTCTCCGCGGAGAGGGGCCTGGGCTCCTTACTGCCAGAGCACCGCTTCGGGGTGCTCTGGCAGGAAATGACCCCTGACCTTATCTCAAAAAGGACATCACAGAACTGGAAAAGTACAGAAGAGGGCAACCAAGGTGATTAAGGGGTTAGAGCACCTTTCCTATGAGGAAAGGCTGAAGAGTCTGGGACTTTGCAGTTTAGAAAAGAGACAACTAAAGGAGGAACATGATAGAGTCTTATAAAATTATGTATGGGGTAGAAAGAGTTGACAAAGAGAACTTTTTCTTGTCAATGTGCAGAAGATTCAGGACAGACAAAAGGAAATACTTCTTTATGCAGAGTGATTAAAATGTGGAATTTGCTGCTAGAGAATTCAGCAATGGCCCCAGGCATAGACAGCTTTAAAAGGGGATTAGATAGATTCGTGGAAGACAGGTCTATCAGGTGCTACTAGTCATGGCAACTAGAGGGAACCTTCACGTTCAGAAGCAGTAAACCTCTGAATACCAGTGCCCGAAGACAACATCAGTGGAAGGCCTCAGCCTCTATGCTCTGTTGTTGGTCCTCCAGAGTAACTGGTTGTCCACTGAGTGAGACATGATGCTGAACTAGATGAATCACTGTATGATCCAGCAGTGCTCTTCTTATATTCTTATGAATGTATAATAAGAACTCAAACATTATATTACATAATGAAGTACAAAGGTTTTTTTTTTGCCATATATAACAGCACTCCTGGCTGTACCTCCAGGTAGCACTATTGTTCTTTCACCAAGAATCAGTACCCTTTATACTAAACCTATTTTAATCCTACAGGATTCCCATCACCCAAAGTCATTACAAAAATGGTATAATAGACATCAAGGCTGAGCTTCTTGACACTGGCCAGCATGTTCAGACTTTACAAAGGGAGTTACATCCCCCCCCCCCCCCCCCGGACCTTTATTGGCATAAAAGATGCTGATAAATTACAATCAACTGTTTTATGTCTCTGTTCTTATCAATCAGACCTGAGACATAAAACAGTTGATTAAGATAGTGACTGCTAATACAGATCAAGTGTTTATTTAAATCAATAAAACATTGAAGAGGACGACCATCCCAGATAGGAGGAGTGTACCGTTTTTCAGGAGTTACATTCAGTAAAGCCAAAATCCTGTTAAGCCATTAGACATTCATATTCACCTGAATATACACCATTCTTCACCACAATAATTCCAACTTGGCAGCTCTGAATGCTCTGACTACAAATCCCTTTGGGATGCTTGGAAACTATTTAAAACTGCAATCCTG